CTCTTCCGAAGCTACGTACGGCCCGTGTGGCGGTTTGACCGCCTCCTGGTCACGCTGCCGGAATAACGAAGGCCGTTGTGCAGCAAAGTGAGCTCTTTTTGTCATTGATGTCCTGATTTAATTCTGGGCAGGAAGAAATCTTGTTCCATTGCTTGTTCCCGAAGGACTGCAGTGAAAGGCCCAATTCATGGGGGGGGAAAAGGTTTGTTGCTGGACAGAGCTATATCAGTGTCGTCCAACTGCGGGTTTGTAGTGATTTAGCTTGAGTGTGGTTGGTTGGTTGGTTTGTTTTTTTAATAGAGGAAGAAAGTCCACTGCAGTCCTCCCTCCTTTCCAGCTGGCTGAGGGGCTTGCTGCGTTGTCGCTGGCTAATGCTCCTGTTGACCGCTTTCTGCAGATGGCTGTTGCCTCTGACCCTCAGGCTGGAGATGCGAGCGGTTGGTTTGGATCCCGCTGCGCCTTTGCTGTGCTGTTAGATCCCACCAGCAGAGTGTCTCCCAGGCTGAGAAATAACAGCTGAGCACTGAGCAGCTCTGAAGGGGTCTGGTTCGTGCTCAAAACACCAAGAAAAAGGTTTGTGCAGGATTCCAGCTGTGGACACCGATGCAAACGTAGTGGTGGCTTGTGAGAGAGTGGAGGCAGGTTGGGAGGGGCGTGGATGAAATGAGTTGTAGGGGGCCTGGGATATTTCCACTGCATTTCAGTCTTTGTTCTGGAGGAACGTCTGCTCTGAGAAGGCTTTCTTAGCTGATTGAAGGCCCTGCTCCAGTGAACTGATCCTTATTCCTGCCCGCAATTGCGATGCTATCACTTGGGTGTTAGGAAGGACGGGATGGCGTGGGTCAGGCTGGACAGCTGGGTGTCCTCAGAGCCTGCTCCCAGCTTCCTGTTGGCAGGAGGTGAAGGGAGTCTTAGGGATGTGGTGGCTATAGCTGGGCGTGGCTCCCCCGAAAAAGAGCACGCTCTTCTTGGGAGTGCTGCCGCGGCCTCACAGTGCCTGCACCACCCTGGAGTGAAATCTGGCCGTCAGCTGTTTTATCTGCGACAGATGCAAAAAACCCCAGCCCTGCTGAGCGTGAAGGTCCATGCGTTCCCTAGCAGGTCTCCAGCGAGAGGCAGGATCAGATGACGCCACGAAGCAAGACTCCAAGCCCCTGTCTCGCTTCTTTCCCCTCTGGGGTGTTGGCAGCTTCCTGAGCTGGAAGTCAATCTGTAATGTCATGTTTAATAGTCCTTGATGGACTTCTGCCAATTTGCCTCAACGTTTATGTTTTGAGCCCTTCGGATATGCTGTGGCAAGGAGTTCTGCGGTTCATGCACTGCGTGACCAAACTGGGAACGTTTTTCAGTAACACTCAAAAGCCTTTTTTTTTTTTTTTTTCTTTTCCCTGATACATTGAGTTGTCATAGTTAGTTCTAGGGCCTTCTATAGCTCCTGACCATTCCCCCAAGCAGAAACAGCAACTTTTAGGGCTGCCTCCACCTCCTGCTGTGTCTCTTTGCTGTTTAAGGTATTTTGGAGAGGGCGACCTGCTGCTGCGGAGGGGCAGCAGGGCGGTGGGTTGGGGGTACAGCCGGCAGGAAGCTGCCGTGCACGCTCTTGAGCGAGCGTTTGGATTAGGCGCTGTGATCCTTTGGCCTGGATCCCACGAGGCTCTGCTGAAGGAAGAGATGTGCTCAGCTCGACCCGAAGACTGGCCCTCGACTCCGACAGCTCAGCTCAGTCAACCGGTTTGCTCCCCCTGTCCCTGCTGGCCCGCTTTCGCTGCGTTTCCCTGGGAATATCTGCAGAACAGACCTCGCAAAAGTCTCGCCTTAACGTCTACCTAGGCAAGTTCATCCCTCTCTTGCACAGAGCTTATGTTCTAACGCGTTTCCCTCTCCCCTGGGTGGTTTTTGTGTGTATGTGGGTTTTTTTCTTCTTTTTTTTGCGCTTGAAGAGCACAGGTTATTTTAACACAGTAAATGTGTGGGTTTTTTTTTTTGACAGTTAGTGACATGAATAAATCCGTTTTCTTTCCTTCTAGTTTATTATTTAAGGCGAGAAGATGATTAAATCCAACAGTGCTGATTTGAATTTTCTGTTAGCAGGAAGAGGGCGGCCGACGGGGGTCTGTCAGGCTGCAGTGTTTGCATTCATCAGCATCTTGGGAGAAACGGAGATGCCAGCTGCATAGAAACATCTGGTTTTGGTTGTTTTCCTCCCCCTCCCCTTGCTTTACTCTCTTGCTGTTTTTTTTTTTTTTTTTTTTGCGTATTTGGAAAGTTTCGCGTTATTTGTACGGTAGATGTTGGATCTGGTGGAGAGATGGCCTGCTTTCTCCTCTCCGGTCCAAGGACCAAAGCCCTGCTAGGATACTGGGTCAGAGTCCGCATGAAAATCAGCAGGATCAGTGAAAGGCTTTCATCTGGCTGCAGATTTCTTAAGGAAAAGCTTTTTGGCTGGTCTGCACGCATCTGGCCTGGGGGCTGCGGGAGAGCATTCAAGAACTAACGAAGGCTAATTAAGCAGGGACTAAACAACCCATGCAGAGCCCTGCGGTGACATGGTCGACCAGCTC